TATTCAACAGTAATTGTTGAATATGAGCTTAGGACAATAATTAAAAATTAAAATAACCATAATATTAGTTGCATCATTCTCCTCGAGTTGGGAGAAGCTTGACCTCGAGCTCTCAAAAGTTGATATGATGAAGTCCCACCATGAGCTCAAAAAGACGGATGCTTGTAGCTCCAAAAAAACTCCAAGTTGAACCAATGAACACATTTGACCATAAAATTTTGGGAGATCGATTTTAATGTCAAAATCTCGTGATCGTTCTATAGGACGTGGTGGATTTGGCTTCTCTATAGAACACGGCGAATCTAGCTTGTAAATTTCTTGTTCACGAGGAAGATTGTTCTCCAACCACTACATCTCATATTTCTTCTCACATATTTCAGTTGGAACATCCTCTAGAACTTTAGAAAACTTTTCTATAGCTCGTTCCCAACGATCCCAAGCTTGTTTCCAACGATCATCCATAGCAGATCTAACTTGCTTTGATATAACTTGGTCTCTCTAGATTTAACTTATCATCCATAGCCGATCTAACTTGCTTTGATATAACTTGGTCTCTCTAAATTTAACTTATCTAGATCTAACTTGCTCTGATCTAACTTACTCTCAAAATCTGACAGCTCTGATACCAATTGATTTTAAAAAAATAAAAATAAAAGGTAGAAAGAATATACCCTTTTTCAAGGTCTGCAAGTGAATTCACCTCAAGGTTGAAAGAATATACCTTCTCTCAAGGTCTGAGAGGGAATCCACCCCAAAAATCTCTTCACAAGACGAAATTTTATTAACTCATCCACCTCTTTTATTATGAAGCAAACTTCCCTTTAAATAGACTAAAAAATAAAATAAACATTAACAAGAAAAACTCTCTTTACACTTTTCTTGTTTTATCTTTTCTTCCCTATTTTCTCTCTCTTCCCTTAACCTCACGTCCCTTTTATCCGAAGCCTAAAAACTACTTTTTATTTAACCTTATCTTTTTATACTCCTAAACTAACTCAATCCATATCTATTTATACTCTTAAACTAACTCAATCCAATTGATAATTAATTAACTCAAATCCATAAATATCAACTCACACACAAACTCAATACTCACAAATATCCCTACGTACCTCCTCTCTTATCCTGAAGAGATAAACTAAAGAATAATAAAAATTAAAATAATCCTCATATTATTTGCGAAGAGATAAGCTAAAGAATAATAAAAATCAAAATAATCCTCATATTATTTGCATAATTTATAAGCTAAAGAATAATAAAAATTAAAATAATCCTCATATTATTTGCATCATTTATTACGCAGACATATGAGATTGAAGAATGTGGCCGTTAGAATGGGCATTACCACTTTCAAATATATCCAACCAACTTTTCAGCATGATTTACGGTTAGATGGGACCTTTAACCAGGCCTTTATTTGGGTAGTTTTTTTATTTTATTTTTTATTGTTATTATTTTTTTTAACATTAACCTTTTTTGGGCAGCAAGAAAGGACTTTACACACATTCCAATTCAAAGTTCAAATGTTATTCTTGCTTTGGATGAGGCAACGGTTATAGCCTTTAGGCAAAGCACACAGATCATGCTTTCAATTTTTGGGCAACTAACACACCGCTCCGCCTTATTCTTCATTACCTTTTTTTTTTTTTCTTTTTTCTGTTTTTTCTTTTTTTGTGGACAAATTTACGTGCTTATCTTCTAATTTTAATATTAATTATCCAAAAATAATATGTTATTAAGTTCATTTTTTTATTTTTTGTTTTTTGCAAATCTCTAAAATCGACCAAATTCTTCATATCCAAATTTCGTAAGTTTAGTGTAAGTTTAGTGTGTTGAGAAGGAGTTTGAATTTTCAAAATCAGAAATTTCTGGAAATTTTGCTTTTGAAATACAATATTTGAAGTTTCAAAATTTCAAAATCCAAAGTTTTCTTCCTTGGATTTGAAAAATCTGAAATTTCCTGAATCTCTAACTTTGAAAATCTAAAATTCCATTTGCTCCCACAGCACACCTGCAATGAATCTATTGTGCCCAGCAAGAATTTCTTCTAGCTCTAGTTTACCGTGGTAAATTTATAGAATTTTTTAATTTTGAAAATCCGAAACTTCTTCTAGGCACGCTAAATTCTGGAATTTCAGAAATACGGATCAGGGAAATCCAAATTTTTAGAAACTTCCACCTGACTAAATAATGGAGTTTGAAGATTAGAAGTACGGGTAATGTAATCATTTTCTTAAAAAAGAATTGCTAAAAAAGGGGGACTAAATGCAACAACATAAATTTTTTGGCTAATTATTAAATAACAGTAAAATTGGCCTATATGCGTATAAACCTAGTTGGCCGAGTGGACCGATTTCCAATCCAGATTGATAATTCATTGGGCCAAGCTAGAGAATATTAAAATATTTTTAATAAAAAATTCAAAAATTAAATTCAATGAGAACCTTGCAATTTTGCTGATTTGGGTCACCTGGTTCTCATTAGACTCACCTTGTTCTCTTATATAATGAAGTCACACTGAACCAGACCTATTCCTGGTTCCGTTAAAGAACAAAATGGCTACCCAATCAATTGTGATCCGAATCGGCGATTCCCTAACTAGTTCGTAGAATTTTAAATTACTAGTTTGCAATGAAAGGAATAGAGGAAACCATCAGTTTTAGATCCCTAGCCTTCATGCTCAATAAAGGCTCCCAAGAATTCGTTTTAATCAATTTAGAAAAAATCGAGGGAAATTTGTGTAATCCCTCCAATAAAATTTTTATTCTTAGGACCTTCCATTTTTCTTTATTTAGTACACTTATTACATTATTAGCCGCTTTCCTTTGTTATTAACTCCCAGTAGTCAATATCTTTGTTGTTATGTTTGAGTAATTTACGTGTACATCTTTCTAAAGTCCAGTTATTGGAAAGATCGTCAAAAGAAAATTATGTTATTATATTTGTACCAGTTTGTAATCTTTTAAAAATATAATAAGTAACTTTGGAATTTTTTAAGTCTGACAAAAAAAAAAAAAAATTGAGATTTCAAGTTCTGAATTATTTGCTCCACTAAAATACATTGGATTTTCAAAGTTGAGGTGTTCCTAGCCCTCTTACTGGTTCACTCATTACATGTTTATAAATGTCAAATTTTAGATTCTCAAAACCTGAAGTAGGGGTAATATCATCATTTTCGAAAAATTGCAAACATATTAGGTTCAGACATAATAATATGAAAACTTTTAGCGTTTTTTAAATAACGGTAATTTAGGAGAATATATACATAAATTACTTCAGAGAATATGCGCATAAATTACTCTTTTATATTTTTTTCCCAACGTGGAGTACCAAGCCAATTCATAAAAACATAAAACAAAACAAAAGGCTTTAAACTTATTTTCACGCATATGATTGTGAGGGGCATTTTTCATCGAAAGAAGCCCAAAAAAACTCGCCTTCGCACTGGTGTTGGACGCAAAGGTGAACAGTAAAAGGGTATTCGGCACAATATAGGGGGATTGTGTAATTTTCCCAAAATCAATTTTAACTTAGACTAAAAATCATAGAAAATCCCAACAGTAATCCTCTAAATTAACTTTTTGGTTGGATGTTTGAAAATATTTAGTTAAAAACATCCCGATACACGTCTATCCTTTTGTCTCAGTACTCAGAATTGGTATAGACATTTTTCCTTAAAAACTATTTTCCTTCCAAGTATGAAAGTAAGGAAAAGTTTATCGGGCGTTCCCCCAGTCCACCATGAATTTTCGATTTAAAATTAATACTAAATCACTGCAAATATATTTCCTTATTAGCTCGAGAAGTAGTACAGTTCTGGTGATCTTTAATGAATTTTCAAGAATTAAAATGAAGCCAAAAGAAATTCTACTCCCTTAGAAGAAGAATGTGCAACTGTTGGGGATATAACCCCTTCAACACATATATTAATCTCATTAAAAATAATTCCACCTTCTTTGCACTTAAAAATAATAATGCCTCCAGGTTGGATAGAGACCATCCAATTTTTATATGGTGAGATCTAAACATTAGAAAATTCAAATTTCAATCTTTTCTTTTAGAATAATCAACTAGTTAATATTGAAATAATCCTCTGAGGTAGGTCTTCCAACCAAAGAGTAGAAATAAACCATGCTCCCAAGGGCCAATACCATACATGCCCTAAAATGAATAATCCCATAAAAATTTTACATTTAACTATTTTAAAGTCGAACAATTTTACTATACTTCCACAATAGCATACCATGCATCTACTACCTCCTGCAAAATACCTATTTAGAGGATTTTTTTAGTCTAAAATTTTGGGATCCACATAAGAACTACTAGATGATTATTAAAATTTCAATTTTAAGTTGTGTGACACTGAGATCTAGCTCTTCAAAAATTGTATGGTCTTGATTCAATTTTGAAGCATTTTTTCTTTTTAATACAAAGAAAGTGTATTTCAGTTTTTTTTTTTTTTTTTTTAACTGATTAGTTTATAAGTTGTAGATATTACATCCCCAAAATTGAGACCTAAAGGTGTTCCTAACATGTGTTATACCCAAGGGAATAAATAGATAGCATACTTCCGCAAGATTAGGAAATCTTTTGGCTTTAAAGTTTAAATATCATTTTTTTTCTTCTTTTATTTCAATCAAGGTGGTCGAGATTAGCCTCTATAGAATCTTAAATTCAAAATCCAAAATCCAGAATCTACTCTTAAGATGATGAAATTTGAAAGACAGATGCGCCAAAACTTATCCAGCAAGTAAAACTCACACCTCTTTTGCCTCTACATGTGCTTCTCATGCTCTCTTTTGCCTATACATGATTTGACTCTGCATTTGTATGTAAACCTCCTAATCACATAGAAACCGTGTAAATAGATTGTTTCACCTTACATCAAACCTGAAGAGCTGAACCAAGGTTGAGGCAACCATATTTAGAACTTAACCCACATCACCAATTATCTAAAAATTAGAGGGTAACCTCTCTCTCTCTCTCTCTCTCTCAAAGAATTGTATTTATCAATATAAAACAATAACCAATTTCATACACAATACATGATACATGAAGTAGGAGACCACCCAACCACCACAAACCCAAAACCCAACAACTACCCAAGTGCAGTAACTCAACTGTGCAATTCAAGAATGAATTGTGTTGTAAAATCAGTGAAGATGGTGGCATAGAAAAAAGCAATAAAACCATATGCACATACAAACCCACCAAAGGAATTCCAAAACCTTCACCTCCAATTCATATTACCTGCCAAGTTATCTAAAGAATCAGATCACCTGCCAAATAATATGGTCAATAAAATTGCTTTCTCCTCCTCACAACTGATCCATCAACAAAAAGGTCAGTGCTGCAGCCAAAACCGCCACCAAGAGGCTTCCCTTCATAACCGACCCACTGGATGGAATCACAGTTGGAAGCGAGCACTCTTCACCATTAAAGAAAAACTTGGTCGGAAAACCATCACCTCTAACCACATTGATCCCTGGAGTGTTCTTCTTCGTAAAAGAAATTACAGTTTGTTGCTTCCCTGGATTTGGTGGATTGGTATTCGAATCCTCGGCTATCAAATAATTTAAACCAGGCTTGCCTTGCATGAATATAGTGTTGTTGAGGCCCGTTACACCAGCCGACCCGTTAAACGAATAAACACCTTCAAAACCATTAACAGCCTTATCAAGCTCAACAGCTACAAACCAGTCCTCAAAACTAGTTGCATCCCAATTGAAAAGGGTTATTCTAGCGCTCCAACCCTTGTTATAATCTGAAAGGACATGCCAATTGATGCTAACCCCACAATTATCACCACAAGGAAGTGGGTTCGGTACATGGAAATGCTTGAGATCAGCCCAAGCTAAGGCAGAACGGGTCCTGTTTTCAAAGGGCACAAGAAGAGCCTCAGAAGGTAGAAACAGAGCAGGAGCCGATGCATTACAAGCCTGGCCTGCCGGAGAAGGACAACCACAAGCACAAGTTTTGCAAGGAATAACCGATTCGTTATAAAAGGAAGAAAAAGAAACACAACAACGAGGAGGTGTAGCTTTCGAGTTAGTTATGTTGCACACTACTCTCCAACTAGCAATGGCTGAAGTAAAAGAGCGAAGCCCACTTGTGTCAGGGAAAAGGGTAGGGTCCACTCTAACTGGATGCCCACATTTGTAGTCAGGGTTCAGAATTCCACTGATTTTCCAGTTTTGAGGGGGATAAAGCATGGTTCTGTTGAGATCAGGGGGCATTTTATAGACTTGGAGTTGGAAAGCAGCCTTTGATTTGCTTGGGTCCATGTGCGGCGGCAAGAGAGTCCCATTTCTACAACAAAAGGGTATCAAACCAATGTTGGTATCGTTCGTTTTATCTAATGGGAGGTCCACTATAGTCGGGGTTCTTTGGCAGTTCATAACTTTTGTGAAATCTAAGCCTTGGAAGAAAGCTCCTTGTTCTCCAAAAATGCAATCTGATGAGTCTTCAATTAATGTGTAGGCCCCTCGCATGGTTTGGATGAATTCACCTCTCATCCAATCCCAAGTGAGGTTCCAATGGTCGAGGCGACCAAGAGGGTTTTCATTAGAGATCACTACTTGGGCCAAGTAATTTGATTGGTAGGATTGAAGGACGTCAAAATCAATGGTGAGATCGCCATCTTGGCGAGGTGAGAACTTGGTGGCCTGGGTGATGTTGGGTTTGGCATTCTGGTCCTTGGCGCAACAGATGTACATCAAGTTATCTGCAGAGGAAAGCAAGAAGCGGGTTACTTAGTATGAGAAGGAATTCAATCAATTGATCCAATTCTGCCTTCCTATTAAGAGAACAACACAGGGGAAGAGAACTATAAAAAAGTAAGAAGTGGAAGAAACTATAAGCAACTGTAAGAAGAGAGGAGAAAATTAGTTGTCAAATGTGAAACAGAAACACTGAAACTGTAAGAAGTGGGATGCAACACAGAATATGTAAGAAGTGGGGTAAAACATCAGCGAAAGAGTCATGCTTTTACAATACATCAGCATCTATGGAGAGATGAGAACTGTTATATTTGAGGAAATTAATTCTTAATAATTAAATGCAATGGAAGCGCCAGAATTAATGAAATGAATCGACTCCAATTAATAGTAAAATTGAGTCTGATCCTACTGATTTGAAGTCAAAGCGAGCAGTGCTAAAAGAGCATAAAATTTTGTCTTCAAATAAGAATGACAATAAACAGAAAGAGAGATCTTCAAAAGCATTCCTTTCCTTCATTTTCAGCAAAAGGAACCATTTGTTAGACATATCATCTAGAAATCACAGTTTTAGGGATTACAGGTAGCACCTAGATCCAAATTTTATCATAAATCTGACAATAACTAAACAGATTTTATCATAAATCTGACAAAACCTAAACCACCACAGAAGCATAATCTAGAGAGAGAGAGAGATTGCTAGTGCAACCCTTCAAAACCCAAACCACAAAAAGGAAACTTGATTCCTTTAAAACCAATTTCAACCAATCCAATCCAACCAACCAAGAAAAATCGCAAAACTCCCAAAACAATTAGACTCCGCTTAAAAAATGAAGCAAGAGAAAATTTGGAGAGAGAGAGAAACTGTAAAAGAACTTACTTTGAACAGTGGGTTTTTGGCAATTGTAACCTTCATTAGCAAGGCTAATATTGGAGGGCATGGGAAAAGCAGGAGGAGCAACCCCAAACTCAGTTCCCGTCAAGGTAACCTTCACCTCAATCTGGTTCACATCACCAGCCGTATCAATGGCGTTTTTCAAATCAGTTTGGGGAAATCCATTAATGAAAGTTCCATTCCCAACTTCTGCTGGAAAATCTGCCCCATCTGATAACACAGCTTGAGAAGCAGAGACGAGGATTTCCTTGTGCTTAAACCCTATAAACATTTGCCATGATTTTAGGTCATCTTCACCTGTGTTGATCAATGTTGCAGTTGCAGAGAAGGCATAGGGTTGAGCAGAAGGGTCAGAGAGGAAGGGATAGATCCTTGTAATGGAGTCTACTGAATAAGAGAGGAAGATCCCATTGCACTGGTTAATGGAGGGAGATGGGGCTGAGACAGTCTGTGAAATTGAGCTCTGAAACTGCAAGATTAGGGTTACAGAAGCGAGAAGAAGAAGGTGGACATGAAACCCCATATCTTAAAGTTTGTGGGGTTTCTGGTTTCTGAGTTTTTGCGAGCTCTGGGTTCAGAAACAAACAATGAAAACCCTAATAAGTAAGAACCCTAGAAACCAGAAAAAGAAAAGGAAGAGAGAAACCGGGATGCACCAAAAAGGCGAAAGCTTTGAGACACAAACTCGAAAACCAGAATTGAGAAAATGATTTATCGGGGTCTCAAACTTGAGAACCCAAATAAAAAAAGGAAAAAGTGACTGATTCAAAATTAAAAATTCAGCAGGGGCAGATAGAGAAAGAGAGACGCAGTAAGAAAGATAAGAGAGTGAGAGGGGGGGGGAACCGGGGACGTAGTAAAAGGGCGTCGTCTTTAGAGAGAGAAAGTGGGAGTCTAGAGAGAGGGGAGAGAGTAATGGGAAGAGGACGTCTTGAGAGAGAGAGAGAGAGAGAGTAATACGTAGGCAGTAGTAGTGAGAGAGTAGGGGGGTAAAAGGCTTTGTCCCAAGTAGATAAAACACAAATGCACAAAGCAAAAGGAGCGTGTGCGTCTGCGTCTCCGCGTACAGCACACACAGCCTACTAGAAGCTGTCAGCCGGCGGAGCTACGAAATAAAAATAAATAAATAAATGTAGAGAGTAGAGAGAGTCGTTTGAGGAGCGTCAAATAAATAATTAAAATAACTTACCCAAAAATAATAATAATTAAAATAGAAAACAGAGAGAGAGAGTCGTTGGTGAGAACGAACATACATACAAAGACGAGGTCATAGAGTCGCACGAGCCACACTTTTCTTTCTCTCTCTCTCTCTCTCTCTCTACACACCAAACAAATTGTTGGTGGAAGTGCGTCGACAAAACAGCGAAAGAGGAAAGAGATTAAGGTCCTTTCTCATGTTTTCTCTTAATTAACTCTCATTAATCAGGGTTAAGAACATTAAGGAGAACACTTTGGCAATGTCTGGTGGGACCCACCATTGATCTCTCCCCATTCGTTTGCCCCCAATTACGGAGGAAGAACTTTTATTTATTAAAAAATCACAACAATAATTGATTTATTTGAAATTGAAATTTCTGAGAAATGACCCTTTCATTTTTCCCCCAAATCACATGTCCATCACCGTAAACGGTACGGTCTACTAAATATAAAAATATTTACATAAAGTTGTAACCTTAAAAATCTATTATAAAATGTTGTTTTGATATTGGAAAACCATGTAATTGATCATCTCGACATCTTCGACATGTATGGATATGAACAAAAAATAAAATAAAAATTTTGAATCACAAAATAGTGTATCTTGCAACATACTATCTAGAGATTTTCCACGGTTTATTTTTAAGATTTTCATGTGTTCAGTTTAAAGTTAAAACTCGTGGGGTAGAATATTTACCCACATATCCGTGTCAAATTGTTCGATTAGTGATCTAGATCGATCTAAATATTAAACGATAAATAAAATTAATTTAAATTAGAAATAAAGACTAGAGGGGATCTAAATCAAGTACATATCATCTGGAATTAATTCAGTCCCAATTGATTCCATCATTTGGATACACGAACCCAATGGGAAATCAAAGGGTTTTAAAACATCGAGTATAAGGTATCAACTCATATATGTACATGATAACGAGAAGATTAACTGGTGTCTGTTATTATGCTAAAAATACAGGATTGCATTTGATCCGTGGACAACAATTTTGAGATTCAACCTGACATAAATGAAAGAAATTCAAAAATTTGTTGTGAGACCATTTTGTATACAAAAAAATCACCATCACTTGTAGTGGGTAAGTAAATAAGGTCGTAGCTGTGTATTACAATTTACAAGTATCAAAAACAAAAAATTATTGAATATTAGCACGGTCAACAGCACATGTCTAAGGGGATTTGATGAATGTGAGCTTCTAGTACATCTGAATTTTTGCTTCGGGAAATTTATGGAGAAGTAGCCAAGTGATGAAGCATTTAATATCTCATTTATTTTTTTTAATTAATTTTCAAACCACTTGTATTTGATTGCAAAGACTTCGTCAAATGACAATAATAAGAAATTCGAATTTCGAATTTCGAGCCTCTCTTATCTCCTCTCTCTCTCTCTCTCTCTCTCTACTAACCGTCCCTCTTCTTTACTAACTACTAGACGAACTACCTTAGTTTAGTTTGTACGTCCGACTCCTCCTTCTTACACTAGTAGTAACTAAAACCTAAAAACGTTTAA